ATAATACAAGTATCTCTGACCCAATGTAGACCAATAAAATTAGTCCACTGCATACATGTAGTACCTTTCTTTTAAAAATAACAACACAGTACATGAACCTTCTGAACTTGCAGACAATACTGAAATAAACTTAAACAGCTTTGTGTTAAAGATCGGCCAAGCAGTACCTATAGATGCCATCAGGCTGCTCTGACCCAGCTGATTTTAATTTCTTTCCACCTTTCCAACAGACCCAGAGCAGACATGCAGGTCCTATCAGATTCTCCAGGCTGTCAGATGCTCACAAGTTATATGCAGTATTTAGCAAACATGTCTGGGAATCTACTGATAATGTCAGGACATTCTTTGTGGGCAGGGGTCATAAAATTCCTATAACTTGTTTAAGACACTATGAACAAACTCTAAGACATTAGCAAACATCAGAGGTAATGGGAATAGCTTTTCAGTAGCTTTTAAATTATTTAATTTAGGAAAGGGAAATTGCACATCAGAGAGAAGTAGTCAGAATGCACATCAATAGGCACATCAGAGAGATGAAGCAGTTTGATGTCTGAAGATGTCTGGTCAGGCTTGTAGCCCTTACAACGATGTACACTGCACAAATACATACCATGGTTCCTGAAATATATTCTCTAACTTATTTTCTTGCTAAATGATTTAGATTTTCCTACTTGAAAGAAAAAAGCCTGTTAATAAAACAGATTAAATCAGTACCAGAGCTTCCTAGTTTATGGCAGTGATTAACCCTTTTAGTTTTGCACCATGATCCTTTGCTCAGAGAAAGTGCATGTTCAAACAAGCTCACGCCAAATCCATATATGCTTGTGTATTTTAAAGAAAGGTATTATCCTTGATACATACACTTCATATTTACTAATACCTGCCAGAAGATGAGTCAGCGACTACTTCTCTGATCTGAATGCATATATCAAGACTGGGTCAAGATTTACCACTGAGCAAGCTCTTTTCTAAAATGTGTCTGATAACCTCTCTTCCTCTTCATTCAAGCACCTTCAAACTATTTCTTCCTTGCTGACTGGAATAAACCAGAGAAGCAACAAAGCTCTATGCAAACTTCTAATGCAATGTAATTCTGCAGCTATAGAACAAAAACGTTATGCACAATACTCGTTAATTCAACCATGAACCTGTGTTACACAGACTAGTAACAAGACAAATGCTTTCTGGCACTCTTGTGAGGGCCTTATATTCAGGAGGAGACGAGGTAATCGTCTTCAGTCCTGCCTCTCAAATACACTATGGCATGTCACATCTGGAACCTGGAAGAAATAATACAGCTTCTACCCCCAAAACCAGTTTTGAAATTTGCTTGATGGACATTCAGTCACAGATACTGCATTAAAAATGCTTTTACTTCCTCACATGAGAAATCATGGCAGGGTTCCTCTAAATTTTCTATTTCAAGAGAAGAGACAATAAAAGGAGATACCTAAGCGAGGGAAACTGGTAGCTTGACACCTCCTCTTCGTGCCTGATCACACACTCAGCTCCCACGTTCCCTTTTTTCCCTGGCAGATGCCAACAGCCAAGCAGGCAGCAGGCCCTTGGCTTATTTGGACAACTGTTCCCTCACACAACAACAACTTGCAACTTATTGGCAGCTTCAAACAGTCACTTTCCAAAAAGTGCTGGGCTCAGCTTCTCTTGCGACAGGACACTAACAGCAGCCCAACAGCTCTTTGTCCTCGAATCTTCTATTAAAACAGTTACCTAGACTCAGGGGTTGTCCCTGTTCAACCCCCTTCCTAAAATCTGCATGCTGACACTGCATCTATAAAAAAACCATAGAGGCTGCAGCAAAGGGACATTTATTATGTTTGGCAGACTTGGCAAAGGGTCCCACAAAATGTTAAGGAAATAGTTACGCTCGTCAGATTCAATACTGCCATCGAAAGGACCAAAAAGTAACACACATACAAACCCAAACAAGGTCTCTGTAACTTATTTTTATCTGTTAAGCTAAAGATCTAGTCTTTGCTGTGAGTCCTGGCTACTCTTAATGTGAATATTTTAACAGGAAGGAACAGGCTCCGATCACATTTTACAGTCAAGTGTTTAACATAAAATTATCATGATTAAAGCATTATGCAATACCTCCTTTGAGTATTTTCTTTATAAAAGAGCTTGGCTGCAAAACCAAGCTTGCACAAATGGTCTTGAAAGTAATAAATTCCTTAGTCAACAGGTTCACATTATACTCAGAGCAACACACTAGATCCAAGAGGCACTCCACGACAACACTTTAGCAAACAATCCTGTTATTCATGGATGACTATAATAGGGTGATTACTAACAGCTGTTTGCAATCTCATTACATATGGAAAAGCTTCAAAATAAAAAATACAGAAGAAGCACCCCAACTTAGAGAGGACCTGAGGAGATATGGATCCATAAAGCTGCTTAACCCCTTCCCAGTCCCATAATCCTTACTGCTCACATTCCACTCCCCCACCCCCAAAGGCTCACCCTCATACAGTGCTTACTCCTATGGCTTCAAAATACTCAAGGCAACAGTATTACTTTCCAATGTATTCATCAGGTTAAACCCAAAGAATGCATGCATTAAAATATAAATTAAAACTACTATGAGAGTGGTTCAACAGATTTAATATTTTAACATGTAGCCTACACAAGTGCTGAACTTACACAACCACATGATGCTAATATGGCGAAGTATGCGTATGATCACCCCCAAGGACATGAAAAGAACATATAGTCTAGCTTTTAAACAAACTTAACCCAATTAAAAATGTTAATTAAAGCATTCCTGATTCAAATGATAGGTTAATATTCAAACCCAGAAAGCAGAACACCACGTAATGCCCTAATTTGTTCCTATTTGACCGGTGACTCCTTCACTCTCTTCCCTGCCCCTAAGTTTTAATTAAGTACCCTGCAGCCAGCCAGATCTTTTTGTAATACTGCAATGAAGCGTAGGAATATAAAAGCATCAGGAGAAAAAACAACACAATAAAGGCTTGTTCACAGACAAAAAACTATGCAAACAAAATGTTAGATAATCTGTTTAGTGACTCTTCTTAGAAGACAGTCCAGAGTTATTCTAGCTAGCTGTGACACAGATTTATTTTTTTAAGTCTCAGAAAGTTAATCAAGAATCTCAGAAAATAACACTCTTTCGTTCTCATCCCCCCTTAATCCCACTCACAGGGCTCTGCAGTATCTGAGTGACCCTCTTCCTTTGCTCCATCATATTGAAGTCCTGTCTCAGGTCAGGAGACATATTTCTCTCCCGAATATACTCTGGGTCATTCTCATTGATGCGATCAAAGTACCGCTCTTTGTGAGGCATCGTGGCTGCGGGAGGAGTAGTGATCACCACCTGACTGGCATCAGTACTCATGCTTCAACACTGTGGATGGTAGGCTTCACCTGAAACAAATAAGAGGGAAGAATGATTAACCATTAAAAAGAGGGCATTGAATATAAGTTCCAAGTCTGGACAAAATGATGTTCTTTTTCATCTCTGCAGAACATCATGTAAAATGAAAGAACAAGTGAATAATTATCATAATCAGAAAACTAAGGAAGAAATTCTAGAGAAGTGTTTAAAAACCATTAATAAGTTCTCTGATAGTGCATAACCATCTCTATTCCAATTCAAATCAAAAACCAACAGCATACAATTAAAAATTATGACATTTGAAATGACCATAATATATTTTACGGCAAACTTTCCTGTATCATTTTACACTGCACTCATCACCCCCCCAAGGTTTTTATATAGCTCTTTTTCCTGACATGTTCAACCAAGCACACCCAGAAGACAGGGCCTCTGTTTAACATCTGCTCAGAGCTCATCTCCCAACTTGAACGAAGACATTCCTCAATTACAGCATTTCTGAAGCATCTCATAACCCCAGCTTAAAGACGAGGCGCCGGGCCGCTCCAAGACTGCTGGGGGATCTCAGCAGAGTGCTGGCTGGTGCTTGCGCTTTCAGGAGACACTGGGAGATACCAAGGGAACTGCAGGAAAGGTCGTACATTGGGTTGCACAGGATTGTGGCTGCATCCACAGCAGATACCTGAGTTTTAGCTTTTCTCCTCTTGTGTGCAGTTGTACACCAAGATCTCCACTGAAACTCATTACATTTTGGAAAAAAAAAAAAAAAAAAAAAAAAAAAAAAAAAAAGCAGCTTATTACGTTAGGAAAAAAAACAGCCAAAGAACCCCTTTCATGTCTTGGTAAAAAGCTATGCTTAAAATGTAATTTAAAAAAAAAACCTGATAAGCATTTGTAAACACAAACAGAACTGGATCAAAAGCAGAAAAGCAGGCACCTGAATTTTCATACAAAGAAACAGGCTCAGAAGCACACTCAGGAACACCATTCCTCAAACAGGTACGGAAGAGTGACGTTTTCTCAGGTTTGCGGAACAAAGAGAAGCCAGATTTGTAGGAAGAGATAGTGTATTATGAAAATACATTTTAACATGCAAATATCTACATTCAGTCATATATTTAATATAAAAATATTTGCATTCAAATGTATTTTGTATGTAAATAACTCACATCTTCAGAAGAAAAAAAAGCCAAACATGAAGGAATGAGGGTTGTTGAGCAGTGTTAAACAGTGTGGTTTGACAGTATGGTATCAGTGGTTTGAAGTGTCCTTGCTACACGGCACAGTTCACTCATCCCTCATTTGGGTCAGTGCAATTACTGTTTAGGGTATTCTGTGAACAGTGAACTGACATGGAGCATCTGAACTCCTCCAACTATAACCTCATGTATTTTCCAAATGAATCATCTGGAAGCCCTGTTAAAACTAACTTCAGCAGCCCAAGATCTCCTCCTGCCTGCGACCAGCCCTTTCAGTCCTTGTGCTGTGCTCTCTGCTGTGCAGCCACGCCATGAACCAGGCTGGCAGGAGGATGAAAACTGGTTTTCAGCCAGTTTCCCACACTGACACCCAAATGGCTTTGCTGGCACACTGCAAGGGAGAGCACAAGGATGGCATCCTGGGGCACTACAGCCCTGCTACCAAATATGAAACCCCAGGCAGAAGACAAGACAGATATCACCTACAGAGCTAGGAAAGCATTAGCAAATAAGGTACAAGAAAAATATATTATAGATTATGATAAAATTCAGGATTAAGATGAAATACAACTAACACCCTTCTTTAAAAAAAAAAAAAAATTACAGGTTGTAATTGTTTAGGTTTTTTTGTGGGTTTTTTTTGTGGTTTTTTGTTTGTTTGTTTGTTGTTTTTTGAGGGAGAAAACATGATCTGGGATGCAACACTATCCAGCTGCAGGCACAGAGCTTCCAGGAGGCACCTGGCATGCTAGATGAAGGTACCACATTCTGGGATGTATAATCTGCATCCTGAAGACAAGCTCCATGAACTCTGGCAGCTTCGTTACCAAGGCTGTGGAAGCATACCAGTGAGTTTTGCATTTGCTGCTTGGGTGCAGCAGGAGTTCATTTAGCATTTGTCGACTGACCCGCCTGCTATGTGTGATCAATTTAGGGATGCTGGGGGGAAGACAAGGGGCTTGCTTCAAGGAAGTGAGTTTGGGAAGAATCTAGCAGAAGTATAAAAGGAGTTTAAGTTTTTCTAAAGAATGAACTATTGTCTTTTCCAGCTGAGAGCATTGAAGCAGAAGAATAAAATGCTGCCCTTGGGACAGCATTTGGGGATTTGATCACAGCTCGGCATCTCTCTGTTCAGGTTAGAAGAGATACCCTTATAAATGTAACCAAGTATTATGTCTCCCCTCTCCTCCGCTCTGAAAAACGGCAGGGTTTGAGAAGCAAAAGAAAAAAGCATTATGAGAAGACAACACCATGAGCTCACTCTTCAAATACCACAAGGTATGAAGAGCTTGAGACCAGATCTCTCAACCTACACTGTTCTCTATCTGTGTCAGGGTAAATACGTCCATCTGAGTCAGAGCAGACACCTTCCAGCACCTGCCGGTAACTGAGAGCAGTGTAGAGATGCAGATGGCAAGAACCTTGCTTGAATTGGCAACCCGCTGCGACTCTTGCTCTTCAGTTACTTCTTCCCAGGAGTTGCCTTATCCAACTGTTTTTCCTAAAATGCTCCTGAATCCCGTTAACCCTGAGTGGCAAACTTGACCAACTGCTGATCCGCTCGGTTGGTTGGACCAACTACACGCATGTCTGAACTTCAAAAAACTTTTATTGTTATTATTTATAGGTTTACAGGACATAATTAGTTCAAGTCCGTTACTTTACAGTTCATTCTTACAGGGACAGAAAAGCCCATTCATCTGTAAAAAGACACAAATGTGGCTGGCAATACCTAAAATCCACAAAAGAGATTTTTCTAATTGCTTTGGACTTCATTTTTTCCTCCTTCCTTTCAAACTGGTTTGTTACCTCTAGCCATTAAGATCACAACATTAAAGTCCTTGTACTACAAAAAACCTTCCCTTACTGAACATAATATGGGTATTTGGTCCAGTTGTTCTTATTAGGTCTGGTTCAATGCCCACTCTGTTGGGCCTGGGCTGACTCTCATATAACCCCTACTGTTCAGCTGGAAAAATTTCAAACAAATCAGCCATTCTTCTATTATTTATTTGCATCTTGCACTGATTTTTTTATTTTATTTTTTTTAAAAGGAATTTGTTAAAAATGTGCTCAGCTTTTAGGGATCTAAAAATCTGTACCTCCTTCTCAGCACAGGACTGGCAACAACACAGAAGTATTTACAGAAAATCCAGATCTCAAAAATCTATGAATTGTGATAGAGGATTCTCTTCCCCTCTGTATTTTTTTTGTGAGATTCTTTTACCTAGAAGAAAAATCAGCTTTGCTGCAAGTTTACTTTTGGTTTCCACCCCTTCCAATGATGTTCATGAATTACAGAAAGTGAGCTACCATCTTCCTGAGCAACACTAGCTAACGTTTCTTATGTATGTTATACTGCATAAATGGTTCTAGAGACTGAGGCATGGGTGGAAATGACAGACTGTACACCCCTGTAGCAGTAAGACACTGTATCTAGTCTGATCACAAAGGACAATCATACACAGAAAAATCAAACCTAAACTAGAATCTGATTTTGTCCTAGTGAGAGCCATCACTCTTGCTCAGCCGAGACACACGTTTTAGCCCACATTTTGGCCTAACATGCATATGCTGTCATTCCAAAAAGAGATTCAAAGTATACAGAAAAGCAGTTTCCCCATCTGTGGTTCAACTACTCCAACAGGGGGTAAAAGAAACTATGTAGAGCAAGTCAGTATGCATAAGTTTTTGTTACAGAGAATCCCCGCCTCTGATGAAAATACTTTTAGGGAGCTATAAAACAAAGAAGCTCAAAAGCTCTTGCTACAGGGTAACTTGTTAATCTAACTCTGCTTCCCCTGTTCGTCATGTCCTCCCAGTTCATGTTGAACTGAACTCTGATACTGCTACAAAAGAAAACAGGAGGTGTCCTCCTGTGCTTTGATGCCTTATATAGCTTATGGGTTTGGCCTTCGTGTTCGGTATTTTATACCTGTAATTGGGCTACAGAGGAAAAGTAGAACATTCCATCTCTGTCAGGAGGCTATGGATCTCTCTACTTAGCAGTAAGTTTTATTTAACAAAAGCTTCCAATTTATTTCAAGAACTTGGAACTGTTGATTTTAGGCTGCAACATTAAGTCCTGAGCATCCCCATCTGACACTTTGTAAAGTCTAAGTAACATGCTGTGCTGCTTTTGTTGGAATAACTGTTTTCAATGTCAAATCAAAAGCAGCTCAAAAAAATAATGAGGTCAGAGAAACAAGGAGTACTGAAGGGGAAAAAAAAAAAAAAAGAAAAAAGAAAAAAAAAGAGACCAAATGCAATGAAAATTTATCTTGCCAAAGAACACCTCAGAAAGTACTGACTTGATATATTTACATAATTCAGAATGTACAGAATGTATATAAAAATAAATACCACCATAAGAGAAAGACAGAGCAACAGAAAAAGGATCAAATAATTAGATCACCTAGCAACGAATCATTAACCTACCTTTTATGCTGATTTTTTATGGCTGGCTTCAGACATCCCTATTTTCTCTCTGCAGTACAATCCATCTATTTGAGAGTATCCAGCACTGCAAACCAGCTGTGTGAGCACTGCATCATTAACCAGTACAACTGATTTCAGGTCTGAACACTCAAGCTAGACTATACCACATCTGAGCATTTCTTTTTTAAGTAGCACATTGTGTTATTCTGCTCTTGCCATTTCTCGCCTGCTTGTTTTTAAGGAACAGTCTGCTCTTTCTCCCCCCTTCCAGCATCATGTCTGCCAGGAGACTTGTTGGAAGCAAACTGGGTGTCTCTTCCAGCCTCCCTATGAAACAGGCAGGTTCCAGTCTGAATCAAAGACTTGGCTTTAGCCAAGGCTGTCAGCTATGCTTAAGGAATATGAGGGAATGGCTAAGAGGAACAAGAAAACATGTAGGAGAATATGGACTGAAACAAGGGTCACCATCACTATCTTCTGGCATTGAAAAGTTAATTGTTCATCCTCCCTTGTATAAATTTTAGTAATGACATATAATTGAGTAATCATATCTGTTCTAGGGCAAACAAATTATTTTCATAAACACCTCAAAGTAAATTAATTTTTTTAATTCTCCTGATCAGGACATCAAATACCATAAAAATCTGACAGTGCAATGACAGAATTTATTTTTTTATACATACATATATATATATATATATATATACACACACACACACATATATATATATATATATTTAAAAAAAAAACAACCCAAACCAACACAACGTTAAATGGGCTTGGGTTTCATTTATGAGTCTTGCCTTACACACTGATGAGTAAGATGTATGTTCAGACTCTAGCATATTCTAAATGCAATTTGCAGCAATCTGCTACGCTAGACAGGTATCATTTGCTTGAAATTATATTAACTGATTTTACTAATTCTGTACACTAGCACTCAAGGCAAACTGTCAAATTACTACCTTGTGTCAGTTTAAGGGTGTAGTTTGACAGTTTGCCTTGAGTG